GTCTATCTTATATATAAGTCCTAGTTATTTCCTAAACAGCCTTCTTATCTAATAGTTATAAGTAATTATAGATCTTATATAAGGTAAGCGCTTAGTAAATACTAGTAAGCGCTTACTTTTATAATTACTAGTAATTACTTTATTATATAATTACTTCTTTATCTTTATATAACCTATACTATAGTTTTTTTACTCTAGAGAGTTATTTATTTATTCCTTATCTTTTTATTTATATAAATACTACTACTACCTATTATCTACCTATTAGGTAAGGTAATATAGCTTATAACTTATTAGGTTATAATATTAGGTCTCCTCTCTAAAGGTCTTATCCTTAAGACCTATGTAAGTAGGTTATATCTCTTAATTTAAGAAGTTATTAATCTTAATCCTAGATTTTATACTAACACTATGTCTAGTAAAAAGGATTATTAAAAGGCTTCTTCTATATAGCGTTACCTAAAGCTTACGTTAGAAATAAAAAAGTTTAGTTTTAAAGTTATACCTTATTTCTTTTATTATTCAGTAAGTTATTATTATAAAATACTTATAAGAAAGTTAAAATATTATAAGTAGACTTATTATAGTTATTTATTTAATATAACTATAAATACTATTTATAAGTATAAGTGTTTTTTTATTATTAATTTTCTTAGTTCTAATATATAGTAGTAGATTATTCTCTAACTAAGTCTAATTAGTTAGATTATAAGGAGAAAGCAGCTAAAGAGCTTCTTTAAAAGCGTACTAAGGCGCTATAAACAGTATAAGCTAAAATAGATAAGGTCTTAGTAAAGTTAGATTATCTTTAGTAAGTAAAAAGAATACTGTTTAAGAAAAGTTAAAGTATCTTAAATATTTTTCCTAAGGAGTCTATAGGTATTTTAGTAAAATCTATAGTTATTTATAAGGCGTAGTCTAGTAGTGTCTTTAGTATAGTTAATTAGAATATTATATAAGGGGATCTAAACTTAGTAAGTTTTAATTTTAGTATTCTTATAAAAGTTACTAAGAATATTAAAGGTTTTTAACTAGTTCCTATAAGTTATTTTTATATTTATAATTTTTCTATTTAACTAGGTATTCTTTTTATTTTCATAGCGTTTATTAAGAATACGTTTAACTTTATATTTTAGCTTATTTAATTTAATAATAATATAGTTATTAGTAGTTAATTCTTATAGTAGTAGCTTTAGTAGTGTAATATAAAAGACTAAGTAAATTTTAATTTTTCTAGTAAGTTAAGTTTATAGTTAATATTTAAAACCTTTTTAAGGATTTTAAAAGGTCTTAGTTTTTTATAGTTAAGTCTATTACTTAGTTACTTCATTTTAATATTTTATTATAAAAGGTATATATTATCCCTCTCTTTAAAGATTAGTTACTTAATTCTTAATATATTAGTGTATTTCTTTATTTAAATCCTAATAAATTCTAAGTCTAGGGCTACTTTACTTTAGAGTTCTTTTATTTTATTAAAGTTAGCTATAGCCTTTAATACTTATAGGCCTTCTTATAGTTCTCTATAGGTAGTTAGCTAAAATCTATAGTTTAGGTAGAATAGTAAGTTTTAAGTGCTTTTTTTAATAGCACTATTATAAGTAAATTAGGCTTTAGGCAGTAGTAATACTTAATTATCTTAGTTATAGTTAATATAATATTATAGATACTATTTAAGTACTTAATTAATTCTTTTTATTTATTAATTAGTTTATAAGTAGAATATAGTAAATAGTTTAAGCTTTTAGTATCTAACCTTAGTAATTTAATTAATAAGAGCTATATAAGCTATTATAATAACTATTAACTACCTAACTAATTACTAAGTAATTAACAGACTAGTAAAGACCTATATTACTATTACTAAGTATTAATCTCTACTTACTATTAGTAGAAACCCTACTGTCTAGAAACTAACTATAATATTTAGTTACCTAGTATTGTCTTCTTGAGCCTTTAGAGTTCCCTATTAGCTATCTTAGCTGTATTAGGCAGAAGCCTTACCTTATTTAACTTCTTCTTAAGCTCTTCTAGCTTATTAGGCTCCTGTTTATTATCCTAGTTAGGGGCTATAACGCTGTTAAAGTTAGGCAATATAGACTTAGGAGGAGTGCTGTTAGATCTAACGTAGCAAGACGTCTTATTATTTATCTTATTAAGAAACTATATAGGAACGCTAGTAAATATAGTAATTTCAAAGTTATTCTTAATACTGCTAACCTTATAGTCTAGCAGCTTAATAACCTTTATAAGGTAAACCTTAATATTAAGGGCAGTTAGGACCTTAAGCTTCTCCTTATATAAGGCTTTAATAATATTAGCTATAAAGTTAGTAAGTTAACTAGCGTTATTAAGCTCCTTCTTATTAATAAATATCTTAAGCCTTTAGATTAATACAGGAGATAGGCCGCTAGGGCTATCTAGGCTTCTAGGGAGACGTGTAGATATATAGAGGATAGTAACTAGTTCTTATAATTATAATTTAAGGAGGAGAATAGTTCTTATATCTATACGTCTGTAGTAACTAATAGGGAGAGTTAGTATAGGCAGAAGAGAGATAGTATTACCGCTTACTTACCTTAATTATAAAAGTACTTAACCTTGGCCTTAAAGTGTAGCCTCTCCTATGTGACCTTTTTAACATAGATCCTTATAACACCCTCTATACGTAGTGCAAACTTAGCGGTACCCCTCCCCTTAATGCTAGTAATGTAGGCAGTAACGCCGTAATTAAAGAGATCAGCCTTACGGGCGGTACCAGGGTTAACGTCCTTAATAAGGGACTTGTCTATATGGTCGGCATCCTGTATAAGAAGCTGGCCATTAGGGCCGACAAAAGGGGAGGAGACAGGGACGCAAGCGATAGGGACGGCGTCAATGCGCTCGTTCGGGGCGGCAGAGGCGGCGGGGGTGTATACGTTGGCGAGGAGGGCGGGGATGTCGGGACAGGCGGCAGTGACGGGGATGCGCTGGGAGACGCCCGGCAGGAGGATGGTGACACAGGCCAAGGGGATGACGGGGAGGGTATTTGTTTAGGATCGCGCCATGTGGAAGTCGAGTTGGTGGTGTCGCGTGATGTGGGCTGGTTGTCGCTGGTTTACGTGCACCTCGAATGGTGACGATGACAATGGATGTAGGTGGTGGAGGTTGGCGATGGGCGGATGTTGTATCGTTGTGGATGGCGTCGCGATAGATACAGTACGATGGAAGACGGAACAGATGTAGCTTAGGCAAACGCAAGCAAGCGGGTGTATGACGAAGAAGAGCAGAAGGGGGGAAGGTTGGGGTTGAGGTTGAGGTGGGATAGATGGATGGATAGATGAATAACGACCATGTCAGAAGCAACAGTAGTAGGAGCTCCCCCAGTCGCGGTACTGCAGCCAGTCCCAGCGATCCAGTTGCCATCCAAGCCGGTGGTGGGGGGGGGGGGGGGGGGGGGGGGGCGACGCTGTGTGTTGATGCGGGAGCCTCCGCAATCCAAGTCAGCCGAGGCTAATCGGCGCGCCGTGCGGTGACAACCGCCACACCGATCCTCGAATAGGCATCCGTAGGCATCGAGAGAAACTCATGGAAGGTCTTATCATGGCATTTCATCAATGGTGGGGGAAACCCCATGTTACCGCTAGGCGCACCGAAGCTGTGTGCATTCCATCTCACCCGACAACGTTTAGTGAGACAAGAGCGGGAGAAGCGCTAGGCGCACGTCTCGAGTCTCTGCGCAGTAGCCAACATGGAACAGGGGACAGATACATGACCACTGCAAATCGTGCGATCGCTTGTACAATGTTGTGTAGTCCAGTGACGGGGCATTAGCATCAAGGCTACCGACTTACCTACTATTAGTAGGTACGGTGTAGTTTAGGTAGACAGCCAAGGGACTCACTCATATGAATCTCAGGGTCTCGTCTCTCGGCGAACTCAGCAACTAATGTCACATGGGTATGTACCTATATACCTGCCTACATACAATGTAGAACCTAGGTACCTTGTCGTGCACCAAACCCAGGTTAGTCAGCGTTGCCGCTCTTGCCCCCCCACGCTTGCGTCACCTGTGCTCAGGACTGCTTAGCAGTGAGGTCGGAGCGGCCCTGATATTCCTGCCGAGTCAACCACCATCTTGATATTTCATATTCTCTATGTATTGTATTCTTATATACTAGTATATATTAAGATACCTCAGAAGATGTAGGTGCTGTCATCACAAATCTTCCGCCAAGCGGACATCCTTGACCGTCTAGGCCACGGGCCTGCTCCAGTGGGCGGCGCCGCATTCGTCTACTGGGTCCACCTGCCAACAAGGCCCTGGGCGACATCCCAGAGGAAAGGACCAAGTGGGGCTACCGATAGCTCTTACTACTAGTCCTGTATCTCCCGGGCCCGGGCCGGTACGTCAGATGGAAAGGGAGCTCGGAGGCCTCGGCCGAAGATTTATGGGGCCGGACTGTACTGTTATCGCATTGCTCACTATACAGCTCCGTACGGACGCACCAGAACCACTAGAGGAAATTACGGCATTGCTTGATATGATGGTTGTAGTGGTGGTAGGAGGTAAAAACACATGACGTGAATGACGCTTCGTCATGTACCGATTGGAGCGAGAAGTATAAGTAGGGGGCATGATGGGTCTTTACCCTTTTGGTAGAAATGAATCAAGTGGCAGTCCCGATACTATGGTAGTTTAGTATCTGAAAAACCTCCATGGCATCTGTCGTGTTTCTATCTAGAAACCTTCTATTGTGTTGATACTTGGACACCATCATGTACCTGAGCGACCTCGAGAGGGACCACCTTGGAGACGTACCTCGATTGGAGGGAAACTTTGCTCCAACAAACTGCAATCTAGATCCCCCCCATCCTATGAGATTGCGACTTGGGTAAACCTACTCCCCCGATCTCTTATCACAGCAGACATGGCGGCAGTTGTCGGCAAAAACTCAAAATTGCGAATAAGCTGACACTGATGTTAGAGATTTGGATGATCCAAACGGTAGTGCAGGCCCTCAACCTGATAAACTCACCTCGACAAAGATCTTGTTCAGCTCTATGAGGGCCACTGCTTTGCCCGCGCACTGCCATCGGCCGGTGCCAAAGACCAGCTCCGTCCGTTGCTTCCACTCTTTGGCCATGGCCGCATCTGCTTCGAGCCATCGCTCAGGCCTGAACGTATCGGCGTCCTCTCCGAACAACTGTTTATCGTGCGTGGCCGACCACGTGTCGTGCCCGACTCTTGTCCCTGGAGGAAGGAATTTGCCCTCGTACATGTCCCCTTCGGGGCCGACCTGTTTCATCAACAGACCAGTGAACGGCGGATGCACACGGAGAGCCTCGTAAATGACAGCCTGTGAGCACACGTGTTATCGGAAAAGCCCAGTGGCTTTGTTGCATCTGCAGAGTTGCTCCCTATTACTTGGGCTTACCTGGAGAAGGGGCAGTTTCTGGGCCTCGGCGTTAGTGATAGGCTCTGAAATGGCTCCATCCGAAATCGCCACCATGATCTCCTTCTCGAGAGATTCATAGGTAGAGGGGCTCCAGAGGAGGTATTGCATTGTCCACTTGATGGCTTTCGCTGCTGTATCTGAACCGGCAACCATTGGAAACATGATCTCAGACTGGGCTGAGCGTCGATCAAGCCCGCGGCGAAGAAAAGATCCCTGTAAAACGTGTAAACAGCCAGAACAAATCACATCGCTCTGTTCATGTTGATATCTTCAGCAGCTTACAAGTAGGTCTGGCTCGTCTTTTGCGTCAGGGTCGAACCGGGTTACAACGTGCTGTTGGGCAAGTCTGCAGTCCATTCCGGTCAAACATGGTCATGATAAAAGACACCAGAGCGTTTGGCGTTGGGATTTCACCTCCAAGGAGGTAACTCACCCCATGATCTTTCCGAAACCACTCACGTCGGTCGGCTTAGGACCAAGCAAGCCCAAAACGAAATTCGACGTGAAAATCATTTGCAGCGCAGGAATATCCGTAAAGAACTGCAGAACATCTATCGCTAGGTTTGACGTCCTAATCAGTCCAAAGATATCTGTATCTTTCTGCAGTAGCCCGATGGCACGACCAAATGACATCCTTGACCGCGCATCCATAGCATAGAGGTCCGCGAGGCGGCCGAAATCGACCGGCCTTGAATCTGGAGTTCCCGAGACCTGGGTGTGCTTTTGGCGAATCAAGTCCACGAGTTCGGCGATCCCCGCGTCGATGCTAGCTTCCAGCCCCGGAATGTCCTTTCCCAAGTAGCCCGGTGACAATTTCGTCCTCAAGGAGTGGTGGACTGACTTGTCGAGCACGCTGCCCATCATATCATGGTACGGGTCCAAGCGCGTTGCCTTGTACCAGCTACTGCGTTCGTATGTCGACTTGGCCGCCGACATGCGTCTGATGAGGACCGGGTCGGACGTGATCAGGTCGTTGGGACCTATGCGAACAAGCTTGCCGTACTGGGCAGTGAGCCTGGCATATTCGGAAAACGCGCGAGACCCGTAACAGCGGATTCTAAACATTGGCCAATACGAGAGCGAACAGAGAAAGGGGCCGGGTAAGTGCCACAGGCGGACACATGATCTTACGGTCGCGATGACCAAGTAAGAAAAAGCGACCACGCAGAATAGACGGCTGATAAGTCCCAGAGGAAGAAAGTGTACGGATTGAGATGTGAATGAAGTCATGTTCGGATCCAGGCAAAGTCGGACGGAACATGTCAAAGGAACCAAGGAAAAGGGGCGGATGTGTGGAAGGGTCCGCAGGTTATTAAAACCAAGTACATACAGAGACCGGGGGCTCTGGAGAACAATGCGTTCTTCGGATGAGCAACTAGGGACGAACACCTCCTTGAAAACCACCCCCCCTGCTAGGTAGATACCCAAGGGAAGAAGAGAGATGTGATCCCACTTGGCCAAGATTTCTCACCGAGTCATGCCGAGTGGTTTTGACTTTTTTTCACTGTGCGGGACGGGCTCGCCGGTCATGCAGGCACGAGACTAAATCAGTATCACTAGAGCGGTAAGTGGCCTTGCTTCCGGAAATAAACTCAGCCCAGGAACTCCTTAACAGAGTGGTGTCATGGGTGCCTCTTGAACTAGGTACAGCCATCGCCCTACCCTATACAACGTACGTGGAACACATACACCGCGCGTTCAGCAAGAATCACCTCTCCAATCACTTTGCATACCCTCCGAACATCAGTAAACCAAACATGAGTGCCTCAATGTCAGCCTCAGCGTGTCTCAGTGAGGCCGAAGGTCCACCTCTCGATCTTTCCGGAGTGCCTGACGTCTGGGACGGTTTTCGTTCAGCCATCAGAAACCACCCAAAAGAATTGGCTCTGGTGTGCACCCATCAGTCGCACAATCTGTTTGGTTTTCCCAGTACTGATCTGCCCGGTCCAGAAGACTGCAGTGTCACGGACGAACCGCCGCCTTACCTTCGCTGGACCTTCCAGACCGTCGCCCAAGCCATTCTTAAGCTCGTCCTCGCCAAAAGTTCCATGGCCGCAGATGCCGGGCTGCTGGAGGAGCTCGGCCCAGGGACTCCGGTCATCACCTTCCTCCGGAACGGGGCCGACTTTGTGCTTGCAGCTTGGGCATCTGTCGCGATGGGCTGCACTTTGACACCGTTGAACCCTTTGACACTGAAGAATCGAGATGAGGCGGCCCACATGCTGAGGACGGCTCTTGCCCTTGCCCCAGACGGCCGTTATCCGAGGTTCGTCTACGCAGCCGACGCTGACGTGGCCAGAGACGTCGACGAGCTGGACGCGAGCATCCTTGGGCCTCGCAGTATCAAAATCTTGGCTTCTGGGTCCAAGATAAGAGAAGGCTGGCTTCGTCTTGATGATCTGATCAGTGCGCTCGATGTCGGTGGCAGCGGCGATTTGTGCCTGGACACTCTACTTGCCGGCCTAGAATGCAAGGACCACGCCCAAGCTGGCATCGTACTCTTGTATGTTTACCCAGGACAACAAGGTCTTTTGATGTCTGGGTGATACTGATGTGGAAATAGCACAAGCGGTTCAACGAGCAGGCCCAAGGGCTTGTTTTGCCGTCACTCTGTCTTGAACACTTACACCAATAGCCGACTACTGCTTTCACCACCACACCTCCTTCCACAGCCTGGCTCAAGGATTTGCAGCATTTTGCCAAACAACCATGGTAACGGCTGGACCTGTATTCAAACCGCACACGGCCGTGGCGCAACCCTAGTCTTCCCGGGCCCGGCTTTCTCCACGCCCGAGGCGCTGCTGTCTACTCTCCGCCGAGAACGCATCACGCACACGCTGTTGGTGCCGACTCTGATCCATGCCTTGGTGACAGTCATGGAAAAGGGCCAGCCACCGCTGGAGTCGCTGCTCAGCATCACCTTTGGAGGCATGATTTTAACCAGACAGGAAATACTCGCGGCGACGAAAGTTATCGGGGCCAAAGCAGTTGAAAACGCCTACGGTTGTACCGAAGGCGTGGTTACTAGCACAGGCATTGTGAGTTTTCCTGATCTAGGTTCTCACGAGAGATGGTCCGATCTGGAAGAGGTCCCTGTGGGAAAGCCACCGATGGGTCACGGCATCAAGATTGTGGATCCTGCCACGGGCTGTATCGTTCCTCGAAATGTCACAGGGGAGATCCACGGCTATGGCCCCATGATATCCCGCGAAGGCCGATGGGGATATATCGGGGATGAGCAACAAGCTTCCTTCTACGTCGAGAAGGAGAAAAGAAGAGTGTGGTTCCAGACCGGAGATATGGGAAGAATGGACGAGAAGGGAGACCTCTTCATAGTTGGACGGTACAAGGACATGTATGTGCGACGCTGACGACGTGTAATGTTTTGTTCATCTTTGCTCTCGCTAACCATTGCCCAACAGGATCATCCGCGGTGGCGAAAACATTTCCCCTGCCGCCATCGAGGCTGTCCTTATGAAGAACCCTGCCCTCCGCACTCTTGATCCACAAGTGTACGTAAGATTGACACCGTTGACTTTTGGCCTCCATCTCGATTTACCAGATCAAGTGCTGACGAGGGATTAGTGTTGGGGTCAGGGACACCATTGCGGGTGAGGTTCCCGCCGTAGTAATCAAATGCGATGAACCAGTCGCCGCCGTCGCAAAGGCAATCAGAGAAACTGTGTTCCAAAATATGACTATGATGCACGTCCCGGATGTGGTCATTCCTCTCAAGGACCTAGGTCAAAAGGACTTCCCCCGAACGACTTCAGGTAAAATCCAGAAGTTCAAGCTAAAGCAGCTTGTGGCAGCCCATCTTGAAACGCGCGCTGCTTCTTCGGCAACCATGGGCGCATCCTCGGGACTCGGACGGCTCGAGGAGCAAGTCAAGGCCATCTGGGCGACGGCCATCGGTCTGGGATCTCCATCTGAAATGGACGTCAACGCACCTCTGGGGCAGTACATCGACAGCATCGCCATGATGCGCGTCCGTGACAAGATCAGAAGACAAACAGGCGTTGCGCTCCCGTTGGCAGCCATGGCCCAGGCAGCGACCTTCGTGGAGCAGATGGAACTTCTGCATAGCCTGTCGGTGGGCTGTGAACCGGCTTCTATGACGACGGACATGGACACCACGCATCTTGCTGGACGGCAAGAGAGGATAGCGGCCGCCGTGGCTAGAATCGAGACACGAAAACCTCCCTCAAGAGAGGAGATGTCGGATTTGGGCTTGGAACCGCAACTCTACGAGCCCATCAGAGATCAAGTCTTGGAGGCCATTTCACCCCACGGTTTCGGGTGGGACGAAGTCGAGGACGTTTGCCCCGCGTACGACTCAAATGCTGTGCAGGCGCAGTGTGGCTTTTACGATACCATCAACTTCAACATGGCCGTTAGTTCGACGAAGGCGACAACCAAAAGGGTAAGTCGTCGCTGCTTCGTGCCTCGGCGTTCCATCCCTACAGTACAGCACAGCATGCTAACGGTTGTTTCGTCCATGTAGGAACTCCGCAATGCGTTGGAAGCGGCACTTCTGAACCATCCCGTCATGTGCTCGTTCATGATTTGGAATGCGGACTGGCGCAGCGCCAATTCCAAGTCAAACGAAGCGCTCCACATCTTCATGCGCCCATCGGCGAAATACTTTGACTCGGCCATACAAGATGGCGGCACTGTACGCTGCTTGAAAGACGTCGAAGAGATCGCACTTGGTGATACCGCCAAGTCCCATCACTTCCCGCCACCGTCGCAGAACACGTTCCCTGGGCCGCTCTATAGAGTCATGCTCTTCGACGTAGAGGAGACCGGAACCGTGGCAATGGTGACGTCCGGAAACCACTCCATCACCGATCACTCCTCGGGGCAGTTGTTTTATGACGACCTCGACCGAGCCGTTGCACTTGCTGCCTCTCCGGGCCTCACTTCGAGTGGATTAGCTGCCGCGAGCATACAAGCGCAGCTACCGGAACATAAGGACTACAAATCCTATCTGGACCTGCATCGCGCTCTGCGCAGCTCTCCGCGGGCTTCGGCATCCGTCAGGTGGCACGTTGATAGGCTTTCTTCGTTGCCCAGACACGTCGACGCCGGGGCGTTATGGCCGAGCCCGACATCCTGGATGCACGTCTCGTTGGACGATCATTATAGGGAGAGTCATCAACTGCAACACAGTTTCTCTATAACAAGCTGCCGAGCAGATCCCACAGGACCCACGCCGGCATCCATCTCCACCGTCGTCAAGGCCGCAGTGGCCGTAGCAAGTGCTCGCAGAAGTGGCTACACGACCACGGGAGGCACACCAGGCGTTAAATCAAGGGTAGCCGTGTTCTCGAGTGTCGAAGCCGCGCGGAACCACTACAATCCTTTTCTGCCCCAGTCCGTTACTGCGGTTGATAAGTTCCACGGCAGGGGAGAGGGCCATGACGGGTTATTGCGGTGGGAAGCTAGCGATGTGGCGGGGCCAACCGTGCAAATCGTGGCTAACGTGGTTGAGATGCCGGGATGCGACAGTGAATCGAGGGAAACAGTCTCCCAGTTCCTGCGAAGGATGCAGCGGGAGCAGGGGCTCCAGACCAAACACGCCTCGGCGCCCTGGCGGGCCATCATGGACGGACTCGAAGACCCGAACGCCAAGGACAGACCGTGGCCGCTGCTGGCTCTGGTTCACGGCAGCCTCATGTTCAATTGGGCTCCTGGACTTGGCGAGAGTGCACAGGCGGCACACGCTTCCGAGGAGGATGCTAGGCTCTCGCAGTTTGAAAACCTGGACATGTTGAAGTCGGTGCAGAAGCCGCGAGTCGGGCTCGTCGTCTCCGCCGGCGCCAGCAGCCGCAGTCCTGGGTCGGCCGACAAGGGCTACACCACCACCGTGTTCTTACATCTCAGGGGGGCTGGACTCGGGTGGGGTCCTGGGGGCGGGATGCTCTCGTTTGCAAAGGAGATTGAAGAGGTGACTCGGTGGTTATCGGCAGAGGGAAATAAGGGCCTCCCGATTCATGAGGCGTTTGGTCTCTAGTGAAAGATGCGAGGATCATCGCCCATGCGCATGAGATTACCTAAGTACCTAACCGTCCGTGGTGTTGGTTTTACATACGTGTGTATGGGATGCCTCAGGGCATCGCATGTTCGAGACGTCCCTCTAGTAGTATCGAGTGAGAGTCGTGTCATTGGGAAAACTGCCTTTCGGGAAGGCCGCGCAAGGGTCTTGAACATTTGATCGGCTGACGAAAAGCTCGAATACCTTGTTTACATAGGTTTCGGTATCAGTCAAGCCCCTTCTAGTACTACACAGTATGTACCCATAGCCCACAAAAAGCCAATGTACCTTGATCCTGATATGACAGCGAATTTCTAATTCGCTCATGTACTATGTAAGTTTACAGTTTTTTCTACATAGTATTATGTATAAAACCAGTGTCTAACTTGTTTAGGAAAGCAGCACACTTATATGAGAAGATCCGTGCATAATGCTGAAAAAAATGTCACGGGTTAGATCACACCGCAGGGCATATGAGAATAGGTGTAAAAAAGGCCTAGCACTATAAATAGAGATATGCGGAAAAGACTGCCCTATACATAGGTGAAATACACGAGTAATGAATGATACGTACGGTATGAGTCATGGCATAAATAAGCAAGCAGGTGAGAAAGGCGACCCAGAAGGTGTTGAGGTGTTAGCATGTAAGAAGGCCGTTCCGGAATGCCGGTATCTCGTATAGCCAAAGTCATAAGTGAAGCTGCCGTGACACAAAACCTCTCGCTGGCAGCCGACCAAAAGTGCACTGGCATTTTACCAGTAAACAAGTTTACACCTTGAATAGGGACAGCTTAAGATCTTGGCTAGGGCTATAGTTAGGGTCTAGGCTTAATTATATCCAAGCAAGGAATGCAGAATACAGGGTGGTAGGGGTAAGTTAATGACCCCTGTGATGTAACGACCTACACACACAGAAACCACTACATTTTCTACTTACTTCTATCTAGCTAAAAATCACTATTTCGTATGCCCTCTATTCGCATTAATTACTGCCTAGTATCTGTCGTGCATACTATAGAGCTGCTAGGCGCAATAGTCATCTAGAAGGGCATCCTAAGCCTCTTTAACCTACCTATATAACGTCTAGTAAGGTATCTGCCCTTAGATATACCTATAATAGATCTAGATATAGTCCTTTACCTAGTTCTAATATAGCTTAATTAGGTTAAGGTCTAGTAAGTATAGGGGGAAATTAATAACCTTTATCCCTTGCCTAGCAAATTCCTCTATTATAGTCTAGGCTGTATATAACTAGGCTCTATCCTATATAAGGGTAAGCCTCTAGCCCTAGGATTACTAATACTAGTAGATAAATCTATTAATAACTAGGACTATATATTCTTAATAGGAATTAGTATTTATAGTCCCCTATCTCTTTATATCCTATACTAATCTAGGGCCCTTATAGATACCTTAAAAAGAGCCCTAAAATATCTAACCTTTCCCTTACTATAGGCGCTAGATAAGGCACATTAGATCTAGCTTTTTATCTGCCTGCCTTGTTATATAGACCTTCTAATAAGTGCTACTATTAACCTATATCTTGTCTGTCTATAGGATACCTATCTAATTATTAATAGTCTAGTAAATATAGGCTTAAGCCTAGGTAAGCTAGGCCTAATAGGTTTCCTCTAAAATAATAGGCTTCTGCTAGGTGACGTACTAGCAATAACCCAGCTAGCAAAGAGTGCTCTAGATTATATACTTACTAAAGGCCCTATTAAAGAGGATAAGAGATAGCTAGAGGAAGCTAGTAAGCTGGCCTTAATAGGAAGAGGTTACATATTTAACTAGCTGTTGCTCTTGCTTGTGGGAAAGGGCGCCTGGCCGGCCGGATTAGGGCTAGGTTAAGGCACTAGAAGCCTAAAGAGCATTCTTAACTTAGTAGATAGAAAATCCGGTCTGGTTAGTAATCTCTTGCCTATTAAGTCTGCTGTTAAAAAAAGAGGGTGCGTATCTATATACAGTCACTATCTAATAGGTGTTTTATATAGATATTAGTTAGCTAGTAGTTAATTATAGTGATAATAAGTGATAGGTGTAATAGATAATAGATAGGAGGGAAAGTTGCCAGCCAGCCGGCTGGCAGGCTAGCAGGCTGGTAAAAAGTGCCATAATGTTGGCTATACCTAAATTAGTAGGGGGGTGAACATTAGAGAGATACCTGACAGGGGTCATAAACTTCGGCCGGATACCATAGTACGAAGGGTGCAGAGAGGTAGGGAGGGTATAAAGGGCATGCTATTTTCGGAGTTGTGGCTATGACATTTCATCCATTCGGTTTTATCCACAACTGTTACAGGCCACTTCTCCCTACTACCCCGCCTGCTACCCCAGCTGACTGCTCAGTTGTCCTCGACAATCAGTTCCCTCTTGGGGTTGAGAGTGGGCGGAAACTGCTCAGGCACCTTTTTGACCCACATCTGAGACCCCGCCTGGACAGCTTGCGCATGGGCGGCCGCGCACCGGATGAGCGAATCGACCGCGACAGCCGGGTTATAGCTCTCCTCATTATACCTGTCCAAAGTGTAGTCGTCAAAGACGATAGTGCCTCCGACCTCAAGCATGTTCCAGGCGAGAACGGCGTCGTGCAAAACATCAAAGGCGACGTGGGATCCGTCGATGTAGATGAAGTCGAACCGGGCGCCTTGGTGCTTCAGCATGGGTAGCGCATCGAGGCTCGACTGCTTGATGATGTTCAGCTTGTTGGCGTGCTGACATTTTGCCACGTTGGACCGGAAGCGCTTCTCCAGCGAGGGTATGTCATATGCGTCGAATTCCTTGTACGTGTCATTTTGGAATTCCATGCTCCCGCCAAAGGTGTCGATGGTGGTGAAGGTCGACTCTGGATGGTCCATCAGGTTGTCAAGGATCCACGTCGCGGAGCCACCTTCGAAGGAGCCGACTTCCATGACTCTCAGCTTTTTACCACGGAGAGAGCTAGTGCGCTCTTCCCAGTGCTCGAGGGTCCTTTCAAACCACCGATGTTGGAAGCTGAATCTGCCACGGTCCGTCTTTGGGACAGCGTTGTCTGTCGTGGTCGACATTTTGTTACTTGTTGTTTTGGAAGCCTCGAACAGAGAAGACAGTAGGTGACGAGAAATAATAACTGTTGCCGTAAGAAGGTGGGCCGAGACTTGACTTAATACAAGAGTTGAGTGAGGCCTTGCGGGATAACCACTGTCCAAAGGATCTTATGGTCAACGTTCTGTCACTATCTGGAATTTTTATCTGTCCCCGAGAATAGGAACTCCGGCCCCGGCCGATGGGTTCTTTTTCTAATTTTTCTAATTATGTAACGTTAGCATACCACCGAGTACACCCATCGGAAGTTAAAACCCCTGCTCTCAAACCTCCTAGACATGATTACATGGGAAAGCATTAAGATTTACTCCTTGTTACTTACCATACAGTATGTTTCTCCAGTAGATACCGACTCACGCTCTCCTCTGGATCCTCTTCTTGACTCGTGCCCCTCACCGCTTTGTCGGTCAACCCGTGACTTCCTGAGAGATCCCGGATCTTAGCGTCGACCGACTGGACCGGGTTGACAGTTGGTAGGGGGGTATTGAAAGCTCCCGGCGGGGTGTCCAGCGTGTCCGCGAGCCTGTTGACCTTTGTGGTTTTCGCCACAGCCAAGACGTTCCTAGAATACCTCGCCGATACGCTCCTTCCACAAAGTCTCCGAGAGAGGGTCAGGAGCTGCAATGTATAAACTCCGCTCTCTACCCGACTGCGGCATTTGGATTCTAGCCACTGCCAGCTTGGTCTTGGTTATGAGCGATTGGTCAGAGTTCGCTCCGACTCACCCCACAGCCCTAGCACGATCTTTGTGACCACTTGGCCTGTTATTCTCCATTGAGATGAAAGACGGCCTTGTCCACCCATCTACTTCACCAAGGCGCGAGCCAACACTTGCTATTGATGTGGAACTCAATGACATGGCTAAATCGCCAGTAGTGACGCCCACCGTCGGATGCCTTCGGCAACGTCTCTCATACCTCATTTCGGAATATCTCAAGTGCATCAACTATACCCGGCCCCCAAAGGTGGACCAAGAAGCACTCCGAGATGCCCTCCTGGAGAGAGGTCGTCAGGCCGGCGTGCACATCGACCCGGATGATGGCTCGAACATGAGATTCGAGGCCGGTCTGGCCGTAGCCGCGGTACGTGGAGCCGGCATTTCCACAAGGTGAACGAGTGAGCTCTGCAGACTGACATCCTTTGCAGGAGATGTACCCCCTCCACCCCTTCAATACCCAGCTTCACATTGGCCTCTTCACCTGGCTCGGCTTCATTATCGACGACCTCAACGCCGACCTAGGCACAGACCTGGACAACTTCCAGTCGCGCTTTTTCCGTGGGGATCCGCAGCCCTGCGCCATCCTGCAGTGTTTCGCCAGTGTACTGAGGTCTATGACGGACTACTACGATCCGGTTGTGGCCAATCTGATCGTGCTCTCGGCGCTAGCTTTCGTCAATTCCAACGCCATCGAACTCCGCCGAGAGTACCAGACCATCGCCCTGACAAAGGATGCTCTCAGCTGGCCGTACTATTTCCGGGACAAGGAGGGGCTTCCAGAAGTTTACACATACTTCTGCTTCTACAGAGAGGCGTGCCCTGATATATCCCGCTTCATGCCCGCGGCGCCAGAGATGGGCAAGTTCATTAACTTGACGAATGATATCTTGTCGTAGGTATCCTCACCACTATGTTTTACATGGAGGAGAAGCTCACCCAGAAAATGCAGTTTTCATAAAGAGGAAAAGGCCGGAGAGACGAGAAACTATATACACAAGAAAGCAATCTGCTCAGGCCTCAGTCCTTTACAGGTGGTAGAGTCTGCCATTTCGGAAAGTGCGCTTGCTTACACTCGGACATTAGCTATCCTGAAGGATAGCCATCCCTATATTGAAATATGGAATGCTTATGCAATGGGCTATATAGCTATGCATTTCGATACTCGTCGGTACTACCTTGCAGAATTAGGGTTTTAGAAATGTTATTTGGCCTTTGGAAGATGACGTTGGAGTGCTTGCTTTTACTGTACTTGCACTCCAATGATTAGACAAGCCTACAATGCCGGGAACAATTTGTTACTAGCTCATATATGCGCGACACGAAGTCCTTATGTACCTAGGCCAATGGTACTTGCTCACAACTCCACTATCGAATCCGAGTTGCGCACTCTTCCCATTGTTTTGGCCAACATAGCGGTCCCGTAGCCATGACACTTATGTTGGGTCATCACTTCATGACATGCCGCAGGGCTAATTAAAAGTGTTCAATAGCGAACGTGGTGAACTTGGTATAGAGTTTAACATATGCTTATGGTTGTAACTTATGTTCACTAATTAGTGGGTAGGTAGTCAATGAGTCTAAACACCAACTGACAATGCCACCCCTATGTTAACCTAAGAGTACTGTACACTTGTGGTCAGTGTAGGTGTTACGACCCGATCGGTTACGTGACTATATATTGCAGAACAGGAGATAATGATGCAGGCGCATCATTACCGAAGGTTTTGCTTTGTGGCGCAGTTGGTTGTCCTGACCTGCTCGTGACAGTAGGGTCTAGCAGACAGTAGACTATAACAATATAGTCTTAGCTAATACAGTAGGAACCCAAAAGTCTCGGCCCAACCCCACTTACACCAACCACCCGCATTTCCATACCCATCTTTAACTTACAACAAAACTATAAAATTTTAACTTTATATAGTAAGACTATAATAAAAATAAAGCTAGAAGTTTGCTCTTTAGTATTGTGTATACTAACCCTGTGCTTAGATAACAGCCTGTAGTCAATTTAGTAATAACTAAATAAGAGCTAAGATCTTCTCCTAAGGGATAGCTTCCTATACTGCTACTAATTACTCCTTAAATTAATTAATATCTAATTAGTTCTTTTTAAGAGAAAATGCTTCTAGGTATAGGTTTTATAGGTTATTCTTTATTATCTACTAAACGTGCTTAATAGGGTTTAAATCTAGTAAGTATAGAGGCTAGTTAAGCTAGGAAATCCCCTACTATAAGAGCTACTCTATAGTTAAAGAAGTATTATAAATAGGGGTATTATTATATATAAAATAATACATATTATCTCTATTAGGGAGATACCCTACTTAAAGGCATAAGATATAGCTATTTACACTATATCCTTGCCTCTAAGTAGTTAAATCTCTTATAAGAAAGGTAAGCTTACTTTAACCTTTTTTCTACACTATTTTTTAGACTATTATAAAGATATTAGCCTTTATATAACTTATAAGGTTAATAAATTACTTATCCTAGTGTTTATAAGGTAATCTAAATACCTAGGCTAAGGGAGATAAGGTGTTATTCTAACAAGAAGATTTATTAGAAAACTAAGTCTATAAGGCTAAGAATTAGTAAGAAACCTCTTAAGAGATATATTAACTAGAATAGGTGTACTATTATTAACTCTTTACTTTTTAGAAGCTACTTATAAGTAAAAGTAAGCCTCTAAGCAGCTGCTTCTTTTGTAATAAATAGTCTTTTTATTACACGCTATTTTTAAAAGTTAGTACGCTTTAAAACCCTCTTAATAGTGTTAAGGCTAGCTTTATTCTTCTATACCTTTATAAGGTTATAGTACGTCTGCTAGTAGTTATTCTATATAGAGTAAATAATAGACCTTTTATCTTATCTTAATAGAATCTCTAGACGCCCTTTTTAGGGCTAACTCTTAAGGGTGTAGTCTTAATAGAAATAGTAAAGTGTATTAGTTATAGCATGCTTAGAGCAGCTAAAGACCTTAGCAGCCTGGCGGTATAAAAAGCCAGCTCCTATAACTGCTACAATTACTATCTGCTGTAATTTTAATAGTTTATGGTTTTTGCTTTAATTTCCTGATAAGAGAGAAGAAAGTTGCTATAAATTATCTATTTTTTGATCTTAATTAAGGAGTTAGAAGAAGGAGGGGTGTAACGATAGAAGCGCGACGCGACGCGTATGTGGGGGACTAGGCTAAGAGTTTTAGGTCCCTACTGTAGATAAATATATTTTTAGTAGAGAGTAGGGGGAAACGTTTCCTAACTAATCTAAGCTTAAAGTATAAAAGAATATAGATAGTCTTAATATCTTAACAGAAGGAAAATAGTAGAAACGTTTCTAAATTAATAAAAGTAATAAGCCTAGCTTTAACTTAATATAAGCATAATAAAAACCTCTACTATTAAGAAGCGTTACTTATTTTTTAAAACTCCTTTCTTACTAACTTCTTTTTCCTTATTATTTATTCCTTATTACTTATAATAACTTTAGAAGTAACTATTAGTCTTATAACTAACGTTAAGCTTTATAGCCTAATAACTATATATAAAGATTAGTTCCTATAGTTAATTTAACTTTACTTTTACTTTATCTAAAAGGATATCTAGTAATTTATTAACTTAGACCTTAAGTGTTACTGTTAAATGTGGCGGAATTACACGTAAATTAGCCAGCAAATACATAGTTACCCTACGGCGGATTGTCAGGGAATAGGCAGTGAATTAGCCCTACTTATAGGGATAACTTTACTAATAATATCGTTAGGATTAGCCTAGGATTTCCTAACTAAGAAATAGGGGTTTTTCTCTGTTTCTATAGGATTAGATAATAGTTATATAACATATCTAAGAATTAATTAATTAACTATTCTAATCTTTATAATTTAATAATTAATAGTCTAATATATATATCTATAATAACTAATATACCTATCTATTAATTACATACTATTAGAATAAATAATAATAATAATAATAATAAGGTAACTATCTTATAATTATATAGTAACTAGTTTATATAGCTTAACGCTATCTAAGTAAAGATAAAGCGTTATAATCTCTAGAAGTATATTAACCTAGAAGTTATAACAGCAGACTAATTAATTCTTAATATATATCTAAAGAAACTAATAAAACTACTAGTAACGTAGTATCTATATATCTTAACTAAAGAAGAGCTTACTACTTACTAAGAAGTTACTATAGCTATAGTAACTACTAGGATATCCTAGTAAGTAACTATATAGCTATAAATAGCAAGAAGTAAGGCTATTATAACTATACCTAATAGGCTTATATATAAATTAGAATATATAGTAACGCTAGATAATTTTAACCTATATAAACTTATATACCTAAATAGCTAAATAAGCTACTATTATAAAGAAGTATATAAGTATACTACTTACTAAAAGAACGTTAAAAATATAGCTAATATAGTTAAATCTACTATATCTATAAATCTTTAAGGAAGGTGTTATAAGTCTACTAAATAACTAGCTAAATAGCTTAATAAGCTTAACGTAGTAGTAGAAATAACTTAAGAAGAATATATAAAGTTTACTTATAATAAGTATAGTAAGGTATTAGTAAAGGCCTAGTAAAAGACCTTAACTACTAAAAAAGATCTTACTATATAGCTTAATAAATATAATATAGCCTATAGTAAATTAAGATAAGTTAATTTACCTAACTATTAATAGCTATTAATCTAGTTTAATAACCTTATTACTACGCTATAAAGTAGTGTGCTTAGTGCCTAGCTAGATTCTTATATAGTAACTAGTAGAATAATAAGTAATTAGAATAATCTTAACTAGTAGTCTCTTTATAAGATAGCGCTAGAGAGGGTTAAAGCCCTTACTAATAACTTACTATATTATAGCTAAGTAGGCTGTAGCGTATTTAGCCTAACTAGAGGTAATAATAATAATAGCCTAATATATACTAAAGGTATAGTAAAAGATAGTAAATTTAATAATAAGAGGTATTACTACTAATAAAGTGTAAGTAAAAAGGTAAAGCGTCTTATATACTTTAATCCTTATTTATTATAACTTTATTACTTTATAAATAAATTATAAAGGCCTAATAATTAGTAAGTAAATACTTAACGCTAGTAATAAATTAATAAGTATATTATAAGTAACCTTAACCTTACTAAATAAGTATAAAGAATTAAGGCTAAGTTATATTAACTATATAGTAAATACTATATAAAGGTGGCTTTTTATACTACTTTATAAGGCTATAAGCTAGGTAGTTTAGCCTTACTTAATTTAAGTACTACTAAATATATATTTAACTATATATTATAGTTTATTATATTAATAGTAGCTCTAATTAGTAACTATATCTAGGTAGGTACTACTTAAGTTATAATTAAAGGATATAGTACTATAAAGATTACTTTAAAAGGCGCTAATAGCTTACTAATAAAGCTCTATATATATAACGTAATATATTATAGCGTATTTACTATATTACTTATTTCCTTTATAAGGTTATACTAGTAAGGTATATAGTAAGATATAAGTCTAGGTAATAATTACCTAAGGCGTATAAACTATAGTCTTATAGGCTATATTAAGGAATAAAGTAACTAATAAGTGCTTAAATATTATAAGTAATATAGCTATAGCTAAGAAAGTAAAAGTGCTTTTACTATATACCTTACTAATAATTTACTACTAACCCTATAAGTAAGAAATAAATATATAATATTAATATAGTAATAGCTACTTTATAGTAATATAATAATATAGTATAAGCGTCTTAGCTACCTAGGTGCTAAGGCTTTATAAAGGATTATAAATACTACATATAAAGTATATCTAACCTAAGTTAATACTATAATAATTAAAGACTATAATTTATATAGTCTTAGTAAAATAAGGTAGTAGATTTACTACTAGCCTTATAAATTAATTATAAATATAGTGCTAGGTAATTATCTAGCGCTAGACTTTTATAATCTTAAACTAGGCTATATAAGATACTACTTAGTAATAATAATCTTAGATTAGGTAATAAGACTTATATAGGATTTCTACTTATATAGCTACTACTTAGATACTATTAAATTAATAATAAAAGGCTTTCTTATAATACTAAAAACTAAATATTTAATTACCTTAAAAGTTATTAAGGCTAACTAAGAAATCCTATGCCTTAAGTAACTTTTAGATATAATTTTTAATTATAGGATCTCTATTAAGCTATTAGTAGTAAATACCTAGGCTTAAAATAGAGGCGCTAAGTAAATTACTATAATTATTAAACTTAATATATAATATATATATATTAATATAAAATTACCTAAAGTCCTATAGCCTAAAACTATAACTATAGCTACCTATATTTATAATTAAACGCTATTAGTAGCTTAGGGGTAGAAGTCCCTATATTAATTATTTTACTTATATTTTATACTTAATAAGAACACTAAACCTTTACTAATAGTAAAGCTAGATCCTTTATATTTATAAGACTATAGCTACTAAGTGTATATGCTAATAGCAGATATATAACTATTATAGAACTACTAGTAAAAGCTTACTACCTATATATAGATTAGATTTCTTATTAGATATATATCTAGTAATTCTGATTATATCTAGTATTTAGTATAAAATGAGGTCTTTACTATATATAATATAATATTTAATAAGAAATAACTCTTTAATAGATTACTAGATAAATTACTTAATAAGCTTTATAAAGCTAACCTTATAGTAATTTAATAATAAATTAACTAGCTAATAGCAGCTAGTAATTAATATCTTTTATATAAAAAAGCTAATAAGGAAATAGATAAAGTAATTAAGTATACTAATATTACTTTACTAAGCGCTTTATAATTAGGTAACACACTAGAATATCTAAATAAGTAAGTAAAGTTTATACTTCTCCTTAATTTACTACTATTACTACTAAGCGTCTTTTTTATAGTCTTAATAAATATTAATATAAAGGGTAGTAAAATAGAAACTAATAGCTCTAAATTAATTAATCTAATAGCTAATAGCTAAATAATTACTAATAGTAGAATATTTAATAAGTAAATACTTAAATTAATAGCTAATAGCGTATTAATTAATTTATTAATAGCTAATAGCCTATAAGCTAATAACTTATTAGAAACTAATAGTTTTAAAATAATAAAGGTAGTTATCCTCTATATCTTATCTTATCCCTATATAATTAATTTATAAGACGTTACTAAGTATAAAAAGGTGTTAAATTCCTAAGTAACTATAGCTAGCCTATTAAGTAATCTCTAGCTAGTAGTAACCTTATTTAAAGGTATTATAAAAGGATATTATCTTACTATATATATAGGTAGTTAGATTACGCTAAGGAATTTATTTAAGGCTACTTCCCTTATAGGGCTTACTTAATAACAAAAGATTATAGACTATATATAAGGTAGCTTATAGATAATAATATAGTCTAGTATATTATAAAGTTAGCTAATAAGTAAAGACTACTACCTTAAGCTAAAGTGCGCCTAAGGCTACTTAATTAAGTATAAAACGCCTAATAGATATAATAATTATAAAGACGTTACTAGTAAATTACTAGCACGTAATAAAGGCGTTAATAGACCTAGTAGGCTAATTACTATATATTAGAAGTTACTATACCTTTTACTAATTTATAGACAGTTAAAAAGCTACCTATATAAAAAGTAATTTAAAACTACTAAAGAAGTACACTTATATAAGTATAAAATATTAAAGTTATAGATAATAGTACTATAAGTAGTAGCTAAAGAGCATTAAGTCCTTAGCTACTACTAGGTATATACCTATAAGCTTAATAAATATAGTTAACTAACTAAATTTAAAGTAAGACTTATTATCTATAGTAACTTATAAGTAAAGGATTTATAAGATACTTATATAGCTATATTAGTAGGTATATTATTTAAAATACTAATAGTAATATTTACTTACTTTAACCTAGAACTACTTTAATATAATATAGTAAATATATTTATTTATATTACTATTAATAAGGTAGTATTTATAAAGATACCTCTAGGCTACTAAATTACTAGCTAGATCTTCTAGTTATTAAAAGCGCTCTATAGGCTCTACTAATCTCCTTTACTATAGTAAAAGCACCTTAAAGAAAGGCTTACTATATTAGGCTTTTACTAAATACCTAGTAAGAATTACTATTAGAAGAAGGATTATATTATATTCTTTTTTTATATTAATAACTTTATATAAGCCTATTAGTATATAGATAAAGCGTAAGTAAGTAATAAGATAGTAGCCCTTTAGTAATAATACTACCTTAAAGGCAGAGGCCTCCTGTAATAGTTTCTTAGCCTTAAGGTAATTTATAACTAAAATAACTATTATCTCTAGCTCTTATAAGTAGTATAATATAATAAAATAACTAAACTATAACTAATAAATAATAAATATAAAAATAATAAATTATTACTTATAGTAAAGGCTAAGCTACTACCTAGTAAATATATAGCCTTATTATAAGAGGTTAACTAATGTTAAAAAAAGGTAAAAATAATCTTTTATATAGTAGTAATAACTTAGCTAGACGTTACCTTTACAGCTAGCTAGCTTACCTACTTTAACTATAATCTAAATCTAGATTACTAAAAGGTTATAAATTATATACTTAAATATCTTTATTAAACGTAGCACCTTTACCTTAAATACAGAGTAACGCTAATGTTATAACCTAATAAGTTATAGGCTATATTACCCTACCTAATAGGCAGATAATAAGCAGCAGTAGTATTTATACAGACAAAAGACAAAGGATAAATAGATAACTCCCTAGAACAGAAGAGCTATAGTATAGGTTACATAAAGATAAGGAAGTAATTATATAATAAGGTAATTACTAGAGATTATAAAAGTAAGCGCTTACTAGTATTTACTAAGCGCTTACCTTATATAGGATCTATAATTACTTATAACTATTAGATAGGAAGGTTATTTAAGGAATAACTTAGACTTATATATAAGATAGACTTAGACGCACTTAAGAACAGACTTTTATAGCTCTTTAGTATTTAACTTATAATATATTCTTTAAATACCTTTTTAGTATTTAACCTTAGTAATTTAATTAACAAAAGCTATATAAGCTACTATAATAACTATTAGCCCCCTAACTAATTACTAAGTAATTAATAAATTAGTAAAGACTTATATTACTATTACTAAGTATTAACCTCTGCTTACTATTAGTAAAAACCTTACTATTTAGAAACTAACTATAACACTTTAATTACTTTTATTAAGTAAGTTAACCTTAATACTCTTTTAATAGTATAATAATAAAATATCTACACTATAAATAACTTCTACTTTATTTAACTTTAGTAAAAGAAAACTCTAGTTACCTTAGTATATAATCTAGATAATAAGATAAAAGACACTAAAGCCTCTAATAAAGAATTTAGCTACACCTAATATACCTATAAAATTATTATAGGACGTATTAAGAAGAATAACTCTAAGCTTACCTAGATATATAATATAGTAAATAAACTTAGTAGTATGCTTAAGAATAAAAGTAATAAAGTCTATAATCTAAGAGCTATAGTTACTATAACCTTAGCTAAGCTTAAGGAAAAAGAAAAAGAAGTAAGCTATCTAAAAGCGGACGCTAGGACCCTATAAGGGGTTTCGTATTTTGCTCCCGCTGGATATCTTCTATAGTGGCGAAGGTGCGGTTAAGTGATAGTGAGACCTTTTTCCTCTTGCGTTGCCGCTGGTCCTCCAGCTGGGCCTGGAATGCCTTGTTTTGCTGCTCTGGGAGGGCCAGTGCAGATGCGTGGTCATCCCAGCCCTTTTGAACCTTTCTGGATGGGTGACGAATAGTATGGGTAACCAGCCTATACTTCACTCGCATCACGCATCATCCTTCTCGCGCGCGCGAGAAATCCCGAACAACCAGAGCCCCGTGATGACAGCCACGCTTTCCCACCTCTCTCCCAAGTCCCCCGTCAACGCTGTCCCCATAAACTTGAACTTCAAGCCGTTCGCAGTCCCGATATTCGACGTCGGTGCCAAGACCGCAACGGCTTCATTCCCATCGCTCGAGAAGCCCTACTCACGAGCCTTTCTGCTCCCTCCGGCGCCAGCCTTTGGGCCGTACATCCTCACCAACTTGCCCCCGATCGAATGCCGCGCGAGCTCCTTGACCTCTGTCCCGCTCGAGCGCCTCCATTGAAACTCCTCTTCTCTGCCCTCTTTGCCAACCCTGACCCGGAAGGCAAGGCATGAGGCAAACAGAGAGCTGGATCGCGGGTTCAGCGGCTTTTCATAGGAAATCTCTTCCGCGACAGCGTGTGGGTCTGACGGGTCGTGGAGGGTGATTGTCGCTGCAAAGTTGACGGAGCGGGGGTTCTTCTGTGTCATCCTGACGATGATGGGGTCCCTCTCGCTTGGCCCATTGTGGAGATGGAGGGGTTGCATAGTGGTTTGGAGTCTTGCACTAGCAGAGAAGGCAAAGAGGCGTTCTTCTGACCAGACGGGACCGAGGTAGTAGAAGCCTTCCTGCTTGTCAAGGTAACATTGGAAAGATGGAGAGAACTTGACCAGCGAATTCAAAGGGGGTTTTGAGTCGGAAGGCAGGTTGGCGAAGCCAGCACTGGGTGTTTGATATGTCGGGATATCCTCGCTGTCTTGAGAGTAGGGAGCGTCGCTCAAACGCCTCCCTTTGCCTTTGAGACCATCCATTTTGACGAAATTTCGAGTCATGGGATGCCCAGAACTTTCAGTGTCTCTGTCAAAGAGTCGAAATAGAAAAGTGCTGTCGGACCGAAGCAATGTCGGGCGGGGGGGGGGGGGGTGGGGGGGGGGCGCTTATGAACTATTAGAGCACAGAGGTGGTCAGCATAATACTGGTCACGCGCGATTCCTCCCAGCGTGGCTCATCATGGCGGAAGACCCAGCTCAAGGGGCTGTGAAACGGTCAGACGACCGCAAGTGACGTGAGTTCTATAGATAAGCAATTGCGACAGTGAAATATAGAACAACCGGTCATCCCTGACTACGCCTCTCTTTGAATTAGGCAGTCCGAGATATCTCACCGGCATCCTTCTTCGCTTACGCAATCGAGTTGTGACGAAAATGACATGACCTCAACAGAAATGATGAGTTGAAAGCGGAGAGTTCGAGGAAATAAAAGCAATGTCCGGGTGGGAGTTCCAGGTACCTAAGCTGGTTACGGAGTGAAAATTACACTTGCTGCGCATCCTTTTAGACCTAGCTCACTTGGACGAAGTCATGTGAATAAGAGTTCTAATCTCAACATTGGCCATCATCAAAAGAAGGGAGCCCTAATATGCGGAATTAGAGTCAAGGGAGACACACGGCTAAAACCACTCGGGCCCAGTGGTACGCCTTCTGGCCCTAGTACCTCGCCGTCCAGTTATGCATCACCTACAATATCTGGGAGAGATAGCTGTTCAGCCCAAGCCTGTACACCGTGTCGTCTGACTGTTGAGTCGTCTAGGTGCGCGCACTAGACAGCATGAGCGCGAAGCAAAAGCCCGGCGAGATGGCTGTGTCTCCTGGTTACGAGCTCCAAAGATTGCCCATCAACGACGTGTAGAAGTAGTGGAGGCCGCAGCGATACCCGCTGGATCCGGCGTCGTCGGCCCAGGATGCTTGAACGACTTGACGTGATCTTCAGCACGTCCATGTTCGAGGCGGACTCTGCACCTATGGTCTGCTGCAAGGCAAAGACGGAGTTCTGAGATCTGGTGAACGCGTCGGAGGGCGGGTGCGGCGCGCTTAGCGGGATCGTGACGACGAGTAGAAGCTTGACGGCGGGCATGGACATCGCTGTCTGTTCAACACTTTTTTAACGAATACTGTAGCTAAACCAAAATAGCAGAAACACTAATTAAGTCATTCCATACGCAGGCCTACATGGATACAATATCGGATACAATGTCTCCCCGCCACGGCCGCTTCTGTGGCCACCTGCAGGCTCCGTACAGTCGTTCCCAATTCCACCCGGGCGACAAGTTTTCCCAGTAGACGAGTATTTCCTCGCAGCTCACATACATACATTTCTTTTCCTCCTCGCTGTCTCCGTCATCGTCGTTTTCTTCTCCAAACTCATCATCCTCTGAAGATGGGTATTTGAGACTGCTATTGATAGCTTTGATGAAAACAGTTGGCGTCTCGTTAGCCCCTATAGAAGTTGCGTCTTCTTTATCTTGAAGTGACTGTAGACATTCGGCATCCACATATAACGGATAGGTAAAAAGGACGTGGTCACGATCATCAACGTGGGGAAGATCGCGTTGAAGATCGGCCTCGCTAGGAAGGGTGGAAACCCATAAGGTAAACCTATCCCTTACTTCTAGAATTGAAGCACCTTCCAAGTCCGGCTCCTTAATAATATGCAAGCGAAAGATTCCTTGTAACGTTTGGCGATCAGCTTCTGACTCATAGGAGAAAGTGTCGTTGATTTGATGGTTGAGATTTGAAACATATCGGTCCTAGAGAGGTTGATTGTCATTAGTTGTACGGTAGAGGTTGAACCCCTAGCGATAAAAGCTCTCTGGTTGAAGGCTCTCTAAGTGGTTTCTGGCTTCCTTGTATGAATTTGAAACGTAAGGATCTGGTGATAGGTCTTCTATAGTGTGCAACGTAGCGAAAAGTGTGACGAGGAAGAAAATGCGGTAGATGTTGTTGGTAGTGTGATAGGTAGACGTTGTTCGTAGTGTGACACATTTGGATAACCACTTGAGGGCGAACAGACCTCTTATTTATAGGCCTTATGTTTTCTAAATTGGCAACATTTGTTAGTAGAACGAAGTGGTCCCTAAGTACTAATTTTTAATAAACCTAATTAAAAGCCCTCGCTATACACTTTCCACTAAATAGTTGAACTTTTACCTTAGAACGATTGGTCTTGGGTTGAAGCACTCCGAGATTTGCTGACTACTAAAGCATATGTCAAATGTGGCGGAATTACACGTGAATTAGCCGGCGAATGCACGGTTGCCCTACGGCGAATTGTCGGGGAATAGGCGGTGAATTGGCCCCACTTCTAGTGGCAAGTCCACTAATAATATCGCTAGGATTGGCCGGGGATTTCCTAACTAAGAAATAGGGGGTTTTCCCTATTTCTATAGTAATTTACTATAGATATATAACATATAATAGAATTAATTAACTATTATAATCCCTACTATTTAATAATTAATAGTCTAATATATACGTCTATAATAACTAACGTGCCTATTTACTAATTAAATACTATTATAATAATTAATAAGAACTATAATAATAAGGTAACTATCCTGTAATTACGTAGTAATTAGTTTATATAGCTTAACGCTATCTAAGTAAAGGCAAAGCGTTATAATCTCTAGGAGTATATTAACCTAGAGGTTATAGTAGCAGACTAATTAATCCTTAAGATATATCTAAAGAAACTAATAAAGCTGCTTATAATGTAATATCTATACGCCTTAACTAAGGATAAGCTTACTGCTTACTAAGAGGTTACTATAGCTATAGTAATTACTAGGATATCTTAGTAAGTAACTATATAGCTATATATAGTAAGAAGTAAGGCTATTATAACTATACCTAATAGGCTTATATATAAAACTAAATATATAATAACGCTAGATAATCTTAACTTATATAATCTTATATACTTAAATAGTAGGATAAGCTACTATTATAAGGAAGTGCATAAGTATACTACTTAGTAAAAAGACGTTAAAGACGTAGCTAATATAGTTAAATCTACTATATTTATAAATTTTTAAGAAAGATATTATAAGTCTAATAAATTACTAGCTAAATAGCTTAATAAGCTTAGTGTAGTAGTAGGAATAACTAAAGAAGAGCATATAAAGTACGCCTATAATAAATATAGTAAAGTGTTAGTAAAAGCCTAGTAAAAGGCCTTAACTACTAAGAAAGATCTTACTACATAGCTTAATAAATAGAATATAGCTTATAGTAAACTAGTATAAGTTAATTTACTTAACTACTAATAGCTATTAATCTAGTTTAATAACCTTACTACTGCTTTATAAAATAGTTTACTTAGCGCCTAGCTAGATTTATATATAGTAATAAGTAAAATAATAAGTAATTAGAATAATCTTAACTAGTAGTCTCTCTATAAGATAGCGCTAGAGAGGGTTAAAGCTCTTACTAATAACTTACTGTATTATAGCTAAGTAGGCTGTAGCGTATTTAACCTAACTAGAAGTAATAGTAATAATAACCTAACGTATAGTAAAGATATAGTAAAGGAGAATAAATTAACTAATAAGAGATATTACTATTAATAAAGTGTAAGTAAGAAAGTAAAGTGCTTTATATACTTTAATCCTTATTTATTATAACTTTATTACTTTATAAATAAGTTATAAAGGCCTAATAATTAGTAGGTAAATATATAACGTTAGTAATAGATTAATAAGTATATTATAAGTAATCTTAACCTTACTAAATAAGTATAAAGAATTAAGGCTAAGTTATATTAACTATATAGTAGATACTACGTAAAGGTGGCTTTTTATACTACTTTATAAGGCTATAAGCTAGGTAATTTAGCCTTACTTAATTTAGGTACTACTAACTATATGTTTAACTATATATTATAGTTTGTTATATTAGTAGTAGCCCTAATTAGTAACTATATCTAGGCTAGTACTACCTAAGTTATAATTAAAGGATATAGTACTATAGAGATTACTTTAAAGGGCGCTAATAGCTTACTAATAAAGCTCTATATATATAACGTAATATATTATAGCGTATTTACTATATTACTTATTTCCTTTATAAGGTTATACTAGTAAGGTATATAGTAAGATATAAGCCTAGGTAATAATTACTTAAGGCGTACAGATTACAGCCTTATAGGCTATATTAAGGAATAAGCTAACTAATAAGTGCTTAAATATTATAGGTAATATAGCTATAGCTAAGAAAGTAAAGGCGCTTTTACTACGTACTCTACTAATAATTTGCTACTAACTTTATAAGTAAGAAATAAATATATAACGTTAATATAGTAATAACTGCTTTATAGTAATATAATAATATAGTATAAGCGTCTTAGCTACTTAGGTGCTAAGGCTTTATAAAGGATTATAAATACTACGTGTAGAGTATATCTAACCTAAGTTAACGCTATAATAATATAAGACTGTAATTTATATAGTCTTAGTAAGATAAGGCAGTAGATTTACTACTAGCCTTATAAATCTATTATAAATATAGCGCTAGGTAATTACCTAGTGCTAGACTTTTATAATCTTAAATAAGGCTATATAGGATACTACTTAGTAATAATAATCTTAGATTAGGTAAAAGGCCTTATATAGGATTTCTACTTATATAGCTACTACTAAGATACTATTAATTTAATAATAAGGGGCTTCCTTATAATACTAAAAACTAAATATTTAATTATACTAAAAGTTATTAAGGCTAACTAAGAAATCCTACGCCTTAAGTAACTTATAGATACGCTCTTTAACTATAGGATCTCTATTAAGCTGTTAGTAGTAAATACCTAGGCTTAAAATAGTAGCGCTAAGTAAATTACTATAATTATTAAACTTAAGGCGTAATATATATATATTAACGCTAAGTTACCTAAAGTCTTATAGCCTAAAATTATAATAGTAGCTATATACCTTTATAATTAAATACTATTAGTAGCTTAGGGGTAGAAATCCCTATATTAACTATTTTACTTATATTTTATACTTAATAAGCACGCTAAGCCTTTACTAATAGTAAAGCTAGACTTTTTATATTTATAAGCCTATAGCTACTAAGTATATATGCTAATAGCAGACGTATAACTATTATAAAATTACTAGTAAAAGCTTACTGCTTATATGTAGATTAGA